CGGCTGCTTTCCCCAGCTGTTCCAGCTGGGAGCCTGGTGTCTGTGGGCAGGCATTGGGGGGGTGAGATCCAGCCACCCCCGGTGCCCTCTGAGTCCCGCTCCCTCCCGGCAGGCTGACATTGAGCAGCTGGACCCCCGAGGACGCACCCCGCTGCACCTGGCCACCACGCTGGGCCACCTCGAGTGCGCCAGGGTGCTGCTGAAGCACGGCGCCGATGTGGGCAAGGAGAACCGCAGCGGCTGGACAGGTGAGCGGGGGGGCTTGCTGCCTCGGTCCTCCACCAGCCTGCCCTGGCATGGGCACGGGCATGGGCATGAGCACGGGCACGAGCACGGGCACGGCCACGCTCAACCTGCTGCTGCAGCTCCCCACGGGACAGCTCACGCGGTGGTGCACGCACATGGCTCCTGTGCAGTGGCCGGCTCTGCTGCGCCGTGCCATGCCACGCTGTGCCATGCCGTGCCACGCTGTGCCATGCTGTGCCGTGCCACCCCGCTGGGCACTGCCCCTCTCTGCCCTGCAGTCCTGCAGGAGGCTGTGAGCACCCGCGACCTGGAGCTGGTGCAGCTGGTCCTGCGCTACCGCGACTACCAGAGAGCCATCAAGCGCCTGGCCGGGATCCCCATCCTGCTGGAGAAGCTGCGCAAGGTACCTCCCTCTGGCGGGGCCACCAGGGCGGCCGTGGGGGATGCCGGCCACGGGCTCCTCCTGACCCTGCTGTGCTCTCCACAGGCCCAGGACTTTTACGTGGAGATGAAGTGGGAGTTCACCAGCTGGGGTAAGCTCGGGGCAGAGCATAGCCAGGGGGAGCGGGAGTTTCCCGGCAGAGCCTCCCCCATCTCTGGTGCTGCCCCCAGCCCCAGCATCCGTCCCCGTCCCCAGGATGGGGGCACCTGTCCCCTTTCCACCCTACACCCCAAGTTTGCAGACCCCCATCTCGCCGAGGCGCTGGGTTCTCGGACACGTCCCCCACCCGGCTCAGCGCTGGCAGCCCACCCAGGGGTGCAGGGTGGCCCCATCGTTGGCTGGGCTATCACCGTCTCTCTCCAGTGCCGCTGGTGTCCAAGATCTGCCCCAGTGACACCTACAAGGTGTGGAAGAGTGGCCAGAACCTGCGGGTGGACACCACGCTGCTGGGCTTCGACCATATGACCTGGCAGCGGGGCAACCGCAGCTTCGTTTTTCGGGGACAAGGTGAGCCGTCACTGGGGTGTCCCGCCCCGGCGGGGAGCACTGGCAGAGCCCTTTGGCACCGGGGCAGGGCTGGGTGACATGGCGGGGACCGTGGTTGTTCCTGTGTACCCTGACCCCCCCACCTTCCCCTAGACACCAGCGCAGTGGTGATGGAGATCGACCACGACCGGCGGGTGGTCTACTCGGAGACGCTGGCCCTGGCCGGCCACGACCAGGAGGTGCTGCTGGCTGCTGTGCAGCCCACCGAGGAGCAGGTGATGGGGCGGCTGACGGCCCCCGTCGTCACCACCCAGCTCGACACCAAGAACATCGCCTTTGAGAGGTGGGCTGGGGGCGGCACCCATCCCCTTTGAGGGGGGGGCGGGGGGCGGCCCCGAGCCCCCCCCCCCAGGGATGCACAGCCCCCCGGGGTGCCCGCACTCTGGGCTGTCCGAGCGAGACCATCCATCGCTCACGGTGCCCTGTGTCACCCCCAGGAACAAGTCCGGGATCCTGGGCTGGAGGAGCGAGAAGACGGAAATGGTGAATGGGTACGAGGCCAAGGTGAGAGCCGGGGTGCGGGCTGAGCTGCCCGAGGGGAATATGGCCAGCTCAGGGCAGGAGTATCTCCCTCTGGCATTCCCCCTCCTCGGCCAGGTCTACGGCGCATCCAACGTGGAGCTGATCACACGGACGCGGACCGAGCACCTCTCGGACCAGCACAAGGGCAAGAGCAAAGGTGGAGCCGGCATGGGCTGGGTGGGCAGGGTGCTGCACCGGCTCCAGCCCTGACCCCCTCCTCTCCCGCAGGCAGTAAGACCCCCCTGCAGTCCTTCCTGGGCATCGCCGAGCAGCACGTGGGGCCCAACAACGGGGTGAGTGTCCCAGGGGTCCCGGTGGGTGGGTGGCCCTGTGGCCGGACCCCTCCGTTACCCCGCTGCGGTGTCCCGCAGACGCTGATCACGCAGACGCTGAGCCACGCCAACCCCACCGCCATCACCCCTGAGGAGTACTTCAACCCCAACTTCGAGCTGGGCAACCGGGACATGGGGCGGCCCATGGAGCTCACCACCAAGACACAGAAGTGAGGGGGGAAGGAGCAGATTGGGGACCCCCCCGTCTCCCCCTCGACTGCTGCAGAGCACCCGGGGGGGCAGGCAGGGGTCCCCAGCCCGGCGCCTGTCCCCCGCAGGTTCAAGGCGAAGCTGTGGCTGTGTGAGGACCACCCGCTGTCCCTCTGCGAGCAGGTTGCCCCCATCATCGACCTCATGGCAATAAGCAATGCGCTCTTCGCCAAACTGCGGGACTTCATCACCCTGCGCCTCCCGCCCGGCTTCCCCGTCAAGATCGGTATGGGGGGTGGTCTTTGCCGCCGGCACGGGTGGCACAGCCGGCTTCCCTCCCTGCTTTTTTTCCCTTTCCTGCAGAAATCCCCATCTTCCACATCCTCAATGCCCGCATCACCTTTGGGAACCTCAATGGGTGCGACGAGCCCGTCAGCTCCCTGCGGCACAGCCCCAGCAGCGAGGCACCCTCACCCAGCAGCGACTCCTCCAGCGTCAGCAGCTCCAGCTCCCTGAGTACGCGGGTGGGGGAAACACGGCTTCGGGGGGGCAGCGGGACACAGGGGGCCCAGCCGTGCCGACGCCTGTCTCCCTGCAGCCTCGTGCCGGGCATGCGAGATGGACCCGGCACTGTTCGAGGTGCCGCGGGGGTACAGCGTGGTGGGCACCCACCAGGACGCCCTGCGGGAGGACGAGGATGACCTGCTGCAGTTCGCCATCCAGCAGAGCCTGCTGGAAGCGGGCAGTGAGTACGACCAGGTGGGTACTGCCACCCCCCTGCCTCCTCCTGCCCCCCCCGGCTGGGGGACCCCACTGCCCACCCTGTCCTGATGCTGCCCTGGGATGCTCACCCCACCTTGTCCCAACCCTGCATCCCGCGGCGGTGGGTCAGAGCTCATGTAGAGGGGCCGGGTTTTGGGGTGCTGGGGGGGGATGCCACTCTCCAAGCACGCCTCTGCCACCGGCTGCAGGTCACCATTTGGGAAGCCCTAACCAACAGCAAGCCGGGCACCCACCCCATGTCGCACGAGGGCCGCCGAGGAGACAGGTTGGTAAGGTCCGGCCAACCCCCCCGGAGGGGAGTGGGAGTGGGTGCTGGCCCCCCGGGGACCCCCGCTGAGACCCTGCCACCCCCCCAGGACTCCCCAGCACACGGTGGCCCCCCCGCCCCCTGTTGCCCCGGCCCCGGGGGGCGGCGGGGGGCCCCGCGCCCTGTTCCCC